GCCCAAATGTGCAGTACCACCAGATAAGGAAGGAGACATATCCAGGTCAGACTACTCAAAGGCACCCCAAACTGCTGTGCAGAGTCCTCATCCTTGGAGAAGAGGAATGGATCATGCCTCTTAAGAAGGGCACTGTCTTCAAGACTTAGAGTGCTCTGTGCTAGCTGTGACATTTGCTCATTTTGGGGGGACCTAGGGAAATTTTGGGGAAGGGACAAAGAACTCTCTTGTTAGCACTTGTTGTGTGTGAGAAGAACATGTAGCTTCACTGAATCTGAGTTTTGCAAAACATCGCCACAATTTAAGACTCTGGAGAGTTTGAATCTCAGTGCTGGGAAGGATGGCTCTCCTTGTCCTAACCGGATTGACTGTACTTTCATTTGGGTTATAGGACCCTCAGCATCGACTGGTGTTAACATTGTAAAAATCATCATTACTGTTGGTCCTAGGGGAGACTTGTTCCTCTCCACTTAAAAATCAGATGGAGCGTTTATTGTTAATGTGACTGGGTTCTTACAGACTGGAATCTTTTTCTAATGGTTCTTTTGCTGATGGTTTGTTTCTCTCTTACGAGCATCCCTGTAGGGATTGATTGCTATTCTCAGAGTCTCTGGGTGGAACTCTAGGACAGGACTTCAACCTGAAAACAAAATGTTCCAGTATATGGGCCTATAGTCAAAGGTTAGACAAGAAATATTAAATTTTAACATGAGCAATGAAAGGAGAAGATATAATTAACAAAATACCCCAGGGGGATTTTTCATTCAGTATTATTAAGAAGCCGGTCTGGTCCACATCTTGTTTTCATTAAGAATCTGGGACCTAGATTACTATCCTTAAGTGGAATTCCACTCTGGAGAGTGGGTGACAAAATGGGATTGTTGATCCAGGACAAAGTTCTACAGGAGTAGGAAACAACAGAGACTAAGACTTGTCTTGGCCACAGGGGTTTATTTCTCCGGTGGTAACTGTGAAAACTTTTTCCTTAGCATGAGACTTAAAGATAAGCAGCTTTTAATCCTCTTCTAGTATTGTTTGGACTTCCAGAAAGTAGTAATAACAAGGACTATCAAAATCAAATCTGATTTGCAGTGACTCGCATAAGTACTCTGTCCACTGTTTCAAAGTGACCAGAACACCAAAAAGATGGCATCTGTGGAATTTTATGGCTGCAGAACTATGAGTCACTCCTTGAGTGAATGTCTCCAACAAGGCAATCATGAAATTAGATTTGGGCCTCCTTTCCTGCTTGGTTGCAAGAGGAGAGAGAGAGAGAGGAGAGTGAGACAGAGACAGATAAAGAGGGGGGGGGAGAGAGAAAGAGAGACTGAGAGAGGACATGAATGATAAAGAATATGACTCTCCATTGTCAGTACAGGGGGCAGAGAATTTCAAGCTGCATGTAGCAGAACCCCAGGTTTATAGGAAGCTAAGAAGGGTGAAAGGTTATAGGTCTTCTCTGTTTCAAATGAGAATCTCTTTTGATATGTTTTATTTATTTGATTAAAAAAAAATCCAGCTGCCCTAGAAGAAACTACTAAAGCCAGCAGTGCTGCTAGGCCTAGGAGGAGTTCAGGGTAAACTCCTGGGCATCACTACTGGATAGGCAGGTGATGTGCCCAAGCTGGGCCCCACGTCAGACAGACTGGTTGTTCATGAAATTAAGTAAACTCTGCTATTTCAGCATCTCTCTGATGGGCCCAGTTTTTTTCTGCCCAGAAGATGCACAATCTGAAGGGAAAGCATCTCCTTCCCCAGGGTTACAGCTGCAGCTAGAAAGAGAACAGGAACTGAGACAGAACAGAACAGTTACTGCTGTAACTAGAAGCAGGAACTGGATGGAGCAGGTCTGCCAGGCAGATCCGTGGGCAGCTCTAGAGTGAATGCCTGCTGGGCTCGCTGGCACATTGGGCATGAGCTCTAGCCTGGGCACCTGGCCAGGGGGTGCAGGATGGATGGCAGTGGACAGAAGGTCACTGGCCAAGGAAAGATATTCATGGGGGGGCAGTGCAATGCGGGTGTCACGACTGTAACCTGGTCTAAAGCAGAGGGAGGCTCTTCACCATCTGTCTCTACACCAGATCACCTGGCAGAACATTGGCAGGAAGGAACTTGAGAAGAAGAATCCAAGGAAGGCTTGTCTCAGTATTGGATGTCGAGCTGCCCACAGAGAGAATACCAGAGCATACATTAAGTTCATTGGCCTGCATCCCCCAAACTGCAATTGACAGCTTCTGCAATTGCCAATACTAAGTGGAGAAATGTAAGAAGGAAGGGGTACCCCAAACTCTGGATGCCCAAACCATTTCTGAGCTTCTAGCCAAATGCTCTTGGTCAGGTTCAGAGATCACTATTCACCTTTCTCTAGACTTTCAATCCTGTTTAGTCTCACGGAGCCTAAACAATTCATGCCATACTCCAGGGAGCCATGTACCCCAGTGGCACATGAAGGTTGCTTCCCTTATTCTAAGTGGACACAGCCACTCTCCACATACCTTTGACTACACTAACATTAGTATTTTAGGGCATCTCGTCCTTAAGCTTCCACACCACACCTCTCCTGGTTTTGCTCAAACATTACCAGGTAAGGTATCTCCCTGCCCAAGGGCCCCAGGCCATCTCAGGGGGTTGGCACACACCTTCTCTGTGATGCTGGTCAGAACGGCCTTCATGATTACCACCCATGAGCAGTAAACCTGTGCACCCACCTCCCGCACCCAGTGTGAAATGAGGAGTAGAACTAGTTTAGGTAGAAGATCTAGGGGTGAGTTGCCTGTACATCCATGCATCCTGAGACACTGCGCCCCAGACAGATCCACCATCTGGGCAGATAATGCCCTGCAAGGAAATCAATGTTGGACTTGACTCTTCCTCGGCAACAGGCCTCTCTCCCCATCCAGACTTCCCAACCTCTCCTCTAGAAATTCTCTATTCGAAAATTAGTGCCTTCCAGGCTTTCCCTCCAGCCACTGCTCTGAGATGTCTGTAGTAACAGGAGAACAGAGTCTTCCTCTGAGCCTGAAGCCCCACGTTGAGGACTAGGAAAGATTAGAGCAGCTGGTGAGGAATGTCTTGGCGAGTATATAGATTTGCTCTGATCTCCAGTGTTTACATCCTGGAGTGGAAGACCTCACAGCTTTCTGGGGAAACTTACTTCCTTTTAGCTGCCAGACTGGTCCTCGGTTCCCAGTGCTGAACAGGTGTGGCCCAGGTCACGCTGGCCTCTCTTTAAGGCCGCCAGCAGGACATAAAGGCAGTGCTGTAGCGCCAAGTCCAGGCTTCGCAGAGGCTCATTACTGACGTGCAGGTCTCCTTGCACCTTGCCTGCCCTCCCTTAGGGTGCCCTCCCCGCCTGGCTGAGCTGGGTCACCCGTGCAGGAGCCTGGGAAAGGGGTCCCCACCCGGGGAGAGGAGGGTTGCGCCTCTGTGAACATGGAGCAGAAGCTCCCTTTAGGGACGCTGGTCGGTGGAGGGAGGGAGGAGCCCTCAGGCCGGCTTTAGGAAGGGGACCCCCAGCGTCCCCGGACATGGGGAAGCTCCTCTGTCAGGATGGAGCTGGGCTGGGGGAGGAGGTCAGGCGAGACGAAGCAGTTATTCCTCTAGCACCCTGGCTCCCGGTCTGTTTTCTTGAGATGAAATTCTCTACATCATCCTCCTCAGTCCCAACCCCTCCCCTCGCCGCCACCGCCCCGCCCTGTGCCCATCCCTGCTGGCCGCGGGTCCACCACCCAGGAGCGGCCTCCTCTTTCTCCTCCCCTGCGGCTCTCTCTGTTTTTCCTTGGCATCTGGCCGGGCATGGCCACCACCCTCCCCCCTCATGCTCCCCACATCCCTTTGCTCCGCAGAAGCCCCCTCCCACCCCCCCAGCCTCCCCTGACAGGGTGGGGGGGAGACAGGAGGAGGCTGAATTCCTTCAGTCCCTTCTCAGTCTGCCTTCCCTCCCCTGGGACCGAGGCTCAGAGCTGTGGCTCCCCTCCAGGTCTCCCTCCAAACTGCCCCTGCCACCCCATTAGCCATCACAGCTTGTAAGAAAGCTGAGGTGCCCCCACAGCGCTGACCTACATAGCCCGGCCCAGGGCGGGAGGGACTCTCCCCCTAGCCCCCCACCCTGGCCCCGCCTCCTCGTCTCCCTACATCTCCACAATCACAAACGGAGGAAGGCTGGAGTTCCAGGCTGGGACCGAGGGGTTAGGCACGCGCCCCCCACCCCACATTTGGGGGAACCAGTGCTGAGCCCGGGAGAGCGGTGGCTTTTCTAGGCAGCCTCCTCCCCAAATATCTTGATCCTTCCTTCTGACCAGCCTTCCCTCCGCCCCCTCCTCCGCTGGGCTCCAGTCTGGGTTTCCCTGCCCAGCTTCTGCCACCGCCAGGGACGCAGCCATCCCGGGGCCCCTCCGCCCTGTGTTGTTGTTTTCTCCTCCGAGAAGCCCCCCCAACCCCCGCCCTACCCACGCCCCCCTCAACAGCCTCACCCCGGCCCCCTCCTGCCCACTCTGAGCTCCGCTGCGGGTGGGGGCGGGCGGGGCGCATGAATGTTTGCAGACAGCAGTTTGGGGGGTTGCACCGACTCCCCAACCCCTCCAGACATACATACACAAACACCCCACACACGCCCTGCCTGAAACAGCGATCCAGCTCACTCCGCCCCCGGCACACACCGACACACACACACACACAGACGCTAACACACAAACGCAGAGCCAGACACCGACACAGACGCGCACGGACACCGACAGCCAGACCCGGCGGCTCGCGCAGACCCGGCCGGGCACACGCAGACACTCGACGGGGCCAGGGGGTGCGCGCCCGGCACCTCGCGACCCACAGAGACGCCCCACGATCCACAGAGACGCCCGTGCTTGGAGACAGACACCCGGGCATCGGCAGGGCTGGCGACTTTAACCCGGTTCCAAACAAAGCGCACAGGCTCCCCCGCCCGCCGCCGCGCTCGGGCCCCCTCCCGGCGCCCCCTCCCCGCCGAGGCCCCCACCCCCACTCACCGTCCTGGGAGAGGGTGGCCCCTCCGGGCGCCCAGCGGCTGGCGAGGAGCAGGAGCAGGGGCAGGGCGCAGGGGCCCCCATGGCGCGTCCCGGCCGGCTCCCTGCTGCGCGCGGCGAGCTGGACCCCCAGGGGCTGGGCCGGGGCGGGAGAGACGCTGCCGCCGACCGAAAGGGCGCCCGGAGCCGCTAGGGAGCCCCGGGCCGAGGCGGGGACGGGGAGGGAGCCGGCGCTGCTGCAGTCGCGGGGATTAAATAGGGCGCTCGGAGCGAACCATTCGGCTGGAGGTGGAGGGGGGAGGCGGGGGGCTGGGCTGGGCGCGGGGGGCCGGGCTGCCGCATTCCCAGCTGCCCCCGCCTCCCGCGCCCCCCGCGCGCCGCCGTGGAGCGGTCCGCCGGCTCCCCCGGGAGCCCCGCCAGCCGGGCTCGGGCGTGGGGCGCCGCGAGCGAGCTGCCTCAGCGATGGGACCTGCGCGCACCCCTCTTAGGTGTGGGGTGGCGAAGGGGAGTCGGGCAGGGCCCTAGGCCAGCTGGCCAGAGCGGCCACTGCAGGCCTGGGCAAGGGCGTGCCCACCGGCTCCTCCCGCCCCGCCCTCCATCCTTTGGCAATTAGGGATCCCCAAGAGCCCTGGGATCCCCCTATCAACGATTTGCCTGGGGACATCTCCCCAGTGGGTAGCCAGTTCCCCTGACCATTCTCCTAGACACTAATGCCCTTCATTCCTCTGACCCAAGACCTCTAGTTATCTGTCCAACAGTTGGTGGCCCTGGGCAATTTCCCTTGATAGGGGGCTTGCAGAGAACCCCTAGGCCTGGGAGCCAGTATTTCCCTCCATCCCTGTCAGTGAAAACACTTTCCTCCCAAAACAGAGGCTTCACTTCAGACTCTTGCCCAATCACACTGCAGCCTATAAAAAAAGAGAATAGTGTCTCCTGGTGCTCTTTATATCCACATTTTGCTCCCTGTCCTGACCCCAATATTTTTTCTTAGTTCTTAATCACCCCTGGACAGGAAAAGGATCTGTCCTTGGTCCATTTAGTGAGGTTCCTGGGTGAGTGGTCCGATCTGCTGATCTCAGGGTGCAGCCCTCAGGGACAGCGGTCAGGCTGTCCTGTCCCCCTGGGGAAAATAGAGGAGAACCTGGGGGGGGGGGTGTCTGCCATGCTTTTGGCTCCAGAGCCCGTGGGGTTCGCTGTTCTCTGTGACTGGGTATCTTTGAGAGCGTCTCCAGGCATCTTAGAAAGGGATGCTTCTAAGCCAATTTTGTAAAAGCAAACCAAAGAAATTTCTAAATTTTAAAACCCCCAGATTAAATCCCCAAATTATAGAATTTTATATAAATAAGGGACTTTTAGAAAAAATTTGATCCAACCCCTTATTATACAGGTGCAATGGAGATTTGAAGGGGATTAACTAAGCACCCCCTGTCCCCCAATTTATACAGATAGAAAATACAAGTCTGGGCTAGGCTGTGGAAAATATGAGTTCAAAAGAGTTTTCTAACCCTGTGAGGTCATGTTTTGCCCTGAGATGAGAGATTGGGGCACATGTTCGCCAGAATCACCCCCCTTTCTGCCCTGAGGACTGTGGCTCACCCCTCATGTGTCCGCTTTTCACTTTGGGTCATCTTTCCCAGCCCTCTGTGACTGACCTGCTGTCCCTGTCACCCAGGTATTCAAGGACAAGAAAGAGGAAAGTCCTTTGTAATCAGGAAAGCTCTATATAAACATTAGTCACGGATGGAGAGGCCAAGAGAGAGATTCCCTGAGAGGTCCTTCTGGATGGTCAGAATGCCACCCTCTGTTTTGCCCTTTCTACAGGTTTTGCATGGTTTCTGGGGGAACCCTTTTTTGAGAGCTACTTGCAGGACAGGTTTCTGCCACCTTGGCAGTCTGGCCAGCCTGTCTTGACATATCTCGGTGACTTTGAACCTTTCTGCCTCCCCGGGATTCTCTGAGAGGTGAAATGGAGGACTTGGACCTAAAAGAGAGGTGAAGCTGCACTGTGGGGGCAGAGGGGACGGGGGAACTAGATGGGGAAGATGGGACTTCCTGGCAGGTGGGCCCAGATGGGCCCAGGTTTGGTCCCACAGCCTCAAGGAAGGCATAGGTTGTCTTCCAAGGGAGAGCTGGGCTTTGGAGGGAAGGATCATGCTGTTTGAGTTAAATTGTCTTGATAGGTAAAGAGGATTATCTTTGGAGCTAGAAGAAACCTTCGAGATCATCTAAGCTGGTTTAAGAGTGGACAGGTTGGTGTGGGGGGCCTGGAGGGGACAGTGGGATCAGGGTTCCAGTTCTCACTGATTGCCCCCATTGGCTGCTTGGCAGTGATCCCCTCCTAGCTGCCCCTCCTCCACCTTGATTGCCTGAGGCTGGGCTGGCCAGGGTCCGGACCTCCATCCACTGTGCCTGCAGGCCCAGAACCCGGCAGGAGGAGAGGAGAGCTGTTTTGGAGAGAGAACCAAGAGCTATGAATGGGACCGAAGACTCCTTCCAGGGGGCTCCTTTTCCCTTTTCTGTTCCATCAGTGTCAGTTTGGCACTTTAGGTCCTGGGAATAGGACGTGGTCTTGGCTTTTAAAGTGATAGAATAAAAAAGCACTGAGTTTGAGGAATCTTCACGATGACCTCATCATGGCCACAAGCAGATGAAGAAGGTAATATGTAGAGATGATGAGGAACTGTCCATGCTCACACAACTGCCAGAATTGGGAGTTTTGGGGAGGGAGCCAATGAGACCAATTCCTGGGACTCCAGAGTCATCCAGTTGGGCATCCCTCGCTCCTGGACCTCCCAGAGCGAAGGCGGCTCTCCTGCAGATGCCTTGTCTCTGTTTGGAATCACTCCTTGTCCGTAATCACCCTAACTCCCTGCTCATGTTCACCCAGCATTTTGCAGGCCCCCTATTCTAGGAGCAGAGTTTTACAAAGATTTTACATTTACAAGTTTTACAAAGATTCCATCCCTATCAAGAAAGTGGGCGAAGTCACAGCAACCTTGTTGGATCGGGATTCTATAGCGACTGCCATGTAAAATGCCATGACACATGATGTGTCTTTCCCAGAAACTTGCACAAGTAGCTGTCCCTTGGGTTAAAGACCCAGAAGCCACAGTGAAAGCCGGGAGGAGCAGAGAAGGGGAGTGGAGAGCAGAGGGGTTGCCTCTCGGAGGCCCCATCCACTCAGCAACAGCCCAGGGACTGGGGGTGTGGAATGTGGCGCTGGCACTGGTGCTGGCTGGACGCAGCTGTGTGGGCCCTGGACATTCCTGTCCCCACGCTGTGGCTCTCAGGAGGGAATCTGGCAGGGAACTCAGGGGTGGTGGGGGGGCAGATCTTACAAATATAAGGAAGGGGAACCAGCACAGTTGGAAAAGTTCCAGATTTGGTTTACAACTACTTTGCACCCCACCCTTCCGGTGTGACTTTTCTTTATCAGTAAATTCCACCTAGATTTCCACGTTGCTTTGCTCTTTAATTTTCCACCCAACTAAACCAGTACTCCTCATTCACTTACTTCTATTACCCAGTTTTAATTAACCCCATCCTTAATAATAACCTCTGTGTGCATTTCCATTCAACCTTAATTGAATTCTCATTTCAGTCCTAACCCTAATCTATTACAGACTCTACTAATCTTAATACCAACCTCTAATTTAATGGTCAATTTTATCCAGCATCTTAATTCTAACCTGTTAAAAGCCAGCAACCAGGACTGCAACTTGCCCACGAGAAAAATGATTACAGGTACCGTTTACTGGGAAACCACTGCTTGGCAGACTGTGCTGGGTGCTGTACATTCGCAGCACCTCATTTAAGTACCTGCGAGTCCCTGACACGGTTGGAATTATTAGCTGTCTTACAAATACGAGGAAGCAAAGGCTGAATGGGATTATGGAATTTGTAAATAGCAGATCTAAATCCAGTAGTTAAGGTCCGCTTGACCTTGCAACCAGTGATCATCCCTTTCTCTGCCAAGAAATACGGTTTGATTGAGTTTTTCCTAAAACCCTGATTTTTGGACAAAATGAATTAGCATGCTGTCTCTTAAAAGTACATTATCAGTTTACTGTTTTCAAAAACAAATAGCGGTGTGAAATGGAAACCAAGCTAGAAAACACCAATTTTCCGACCACATATCCCACTGTCAGTTTAAAAAATGGAAATAATATTAATAGGTTCAAAAAATAAGCGAGGCAAGCTGTAATAGGAAGCAAAGTGTAGGAAAAGCCCCTTTCTCCTTCCCCTTCTTCACACGATACCCCCTCCCACCTCTAGAGTCACCTCCCTGGCATCCTGACACGCACATCTGTTGCCCCCCACCCCAGCTGGCAGAAAGGCAGAAAAAGCCAGTAGCTAATGATGAAATTGCCTGGTATGTGTGTGACTAGCACCAGTCACTAGACAGCATGAGTTTGCCAACAATAACCACTATGGCAAGGAGGGGTGGGCTCTGCCGTAGGTTCTTTCCATCCTGACACTGTCACTGTTCCTGGTGCAGGTTCTGCACCAACTTTCTTTCATTTATACAGCTTTGCAGCTCACAGACACCTGACGATGCCTGCATCGTCCCTCTTCACAGGGGAGCACGGCAAGGCCTGGAGATGGCAAGTGGCTGGCCCAAGAGCCCTTGATGGGGGCGGAGAGACCCAAGTGTCAGACACTCCTCTGTCTTTGTCCACAGCCACCTGTTCCCTGTCACTTCGTTGGGAGAGCATCTTACAGGGGTGTTGCCCTGGGCCGAAAGGCGAGAACAGAGTGCGGGGGTTTTGGAAAAGAGGCCCCCAATGGACTATGGCGGGGCACATGGAGGTGGGAGGAGACTGCCAGGGGAAGGAGCGAAGTGGCCAAAGTGAGGGAAATAGTTAAAAGTGGCAGAGCGATGTTGGCTGGTAAGGAGAGACCTGCAGAGGTAAGCAGAGACCTGGGAAATTTTATGTGATAAATTCAACAAAAATGAAATCACGTAATAAACGCATGTGCTACTATGGCTTCAGCTGGAGGCCAATTGATGTGTTCTGGAAGGATGGTAGGCGCACACAGTTATCTGTAAGCAAAATTTACATTTCAGGTACATGGTCTCTGCAGCCTCTCCCAGGTAATATGTCTGCATCCCTGTCCTTGCTTCCTCGCCCCCGCCACATCAAATGGCTTGCAATTTCCCCAACACGGGACCGTGTTTCATGCCTCAGTGTCTTTGCACATGCTGTTTCCTATCCCAGGATTGTCTTCTCATTAAGCCTGATGAAACTTGTGCTTGTATTTATCCATCCAAGCTTAGAGGAGGTGTCACCGCCTCTGCGAAGCCTCCTACCTGGCCAACATCACTCCTTGCCAGGCACTGTCTATGTGTTGGATGGAGGCTGCTGCTGTTACAACTTTCACCACATCTCACTGGTTTGTCTGCTTGTGTTTCTCCTCTAATTGAGAGTTCTTTGAGGCCAGGGGTGATCTATCTTGAGTCTTGTTATACCCAGTGCTTGGTGTGGAATCGGAAAGATGGTCTACCCTGAAGAGTAGGTACTGAGAGAAGCTGAAAGGCTGTAGTTCCAGCCAGGTGGGCTGCGTACGCCACTTTCTCCAGAAGCACATGCGTGTATGTGAGCACGGGACACGCCTCCCGCAGGCATGTGCTGTGTTCACACAGCTACGACCTGTCCAAAATGAGTGTGATGAATGACTCTCACACTCAGGTGCGTGTTTTCATCTACTTAGTCAAGATTCATTTTGTAATCTTGGAATTGACTTTAGAGCCTGCCACATCCTTTTGCATTATCTTCAGTTGTGGAAAATTTTCATCCTTTGAGGTTGGCTTTTAATTTTCAAAATAGCCAAGTGTCTTCGGGACCCAAGGCTTCTGGATATGTTGGTGGTTCATGTGGGGTAATACAACAACAAGACTTGGCTGTAAAGTACTAATGAATGGCTTGTAGGTTGACTAATTTGTTGCTTCTGAGGAGTGGTTCTAGAAAATGTCTGACAGTGGCATTCTGTTTGTTAACAAGACCAAATACGAGTTTGGTCATTTTACGTTCAGACCTGGTAAATGTGCATACTTGGATATAAGAACACACAAAAAAATCCTGTCCAGAATACAATTCCTGACCATCCATCCATCCTCTTATGGTTCATTGAGTTTTTATGTGCTGTGTACCACGCTGGTGGAAGTAGGGTGTTTGACTCAGCTGTTTTCTTGCAGTCTATTAAAACATCTGCACACTCCCAGCTTTTATTTTTTAATTACAAAATAAAATGATCATCTTCAATTCCCACCCCATTTTTGAGCCCTGTTTTATTTGCGGGTAATAATCAAGGGTCAGGGACAGGGGAATATTCAGGGATGCAAAATACTTAACAATTAAGACCAATCTTACTGTGATGGTTGGCTTTTTTTAGAATCAAGAAATACAAGTGAATGTTAAAAAAAAAAATGCAATAGCAAGATGCCCATGTTTGGTGCTCGGCTCTGGAGAAGACAAAACTGAGTGAGACTTGAAAACTACCTTCACAGAGCTCGTGGTCGAGTGGGAGACAGGAGTGCAGACACATCCTCACACCCTGTAAGCAATGCAAAAGCAAGTTTATATGTGGGGCACTGGAGGTTCA